TATGATGAGACTTTCAAGGAGGTCACACCCCTCAGAAGGAAGCGGATTTCCTGAGAACCCAGCAGAGATGGGAGAACTCAGAAGGAAGACCCTTGTGTGAAGCAGGAGTGGGAGTCAGAGCTGCAGGGAGCAAGAATTAAGAGGCAAATGGAAGGAGGCAGGCAGGCAGATGGCCGTGTTCTGGGTGAGGACTTCTGCATAGTTTACGATTAAATCCCTGTCGCTATAAATGCGATTTTATAGAGGAGAAAACTGAAGCCCAGAACAGTGAAAGGCATTGTGACCTCCCTCGTGTGGCTGGAATTTAGTGTGGGATCAGCTCATTTCAGGGGGGTGATTTCCAAAACAAACCAAAATTCTCAGTATCATTGGTAGAAAAATACAATTTTGAAAATTGAAAAATTACTTCAGACCACCAGAAAACTGTCATTAAAATGCTACCAACCAAATGATCACTGATCGTCATTGGCTTCTAATGTTCATTTTGTTTGCACAACCATGATTTTAAAATGGGATTTGATGCCAGGATTAATTTGGTGTATAGAAAGGTTTGCCAGTCATGAGGCTAAAAGCTGACTTTGAATATGAATATAAAAGTAAGTTGTTTTTTTTTTTTTATAAAGGTACTCCTGAGTTTTCCAAATCTGCATCTTAGTATTCAAGATGTTTCTTTTTTTACATAACCTCATGGTTTGACATCAGAAGCGTAAAAAGGTTGAAATTCCCAAATGAATGTAAACAGTGATTAATTGGCTTGGTCAATCTTAATATTCATGAGTCACCTCTGCAGTTAAAAACCAAACCCCCTTTTGTCCTTTCAGTTAAAAAAAAAAAAACTGCCACTTCCAGTGAATACTTGCTGAGTATTGACTGTATAGCTGGTGTTGAGCCCGTGTATGTACTGTGATGCAAGCATGGTCAAAGCAGAAAGAAACCCCTATTCTCCAGAAGCTTGACAAGTAGAGACGTGGGCATTAGGGACCAGAAATAAACAATAGAACATGTAATGGGAGGCAGGGGGCATGAAAGTACTGTTTGGAGTGGCATTAGAAACTGAGGCTGGAAGGCAGAGGGTGATGAGATACACAGACAATCCTGAGACTAGGAAGACTAAGGCAATGCCCTAGGATAAGGTGTGCCTACTATGTGAAGGACACCACTGGGGAAAGTGCTGGGTGAGAGTGGAGGAGCAGACGTGGGGTTCTTTTGTGGTCCCAGTGAGATCTGCTGAAGGTTTTACCTTCACCTTCGATGAGAGAGGGCATGAGGGAAGTTTGCATCGGGAGCAACAGAACTGGCATTGCTATTCAGTGTCTCAGTCAGTCTGCTTTTTCATCGGAAAATAGTTATAAGCAGAGAGGGCAAAGCTGTGAAAGGTGGAGCAGAGAGGCCCACTACAAGGCTGTTGTAATCAAAACAAAAGGTGCTAGTGGTTCGTAAGAGGCCACCACAAAGAACCATGTGTTGCATGGTGCTGTTCCTGTGGAATACCCATAAAAACAGCCTGCAGAGTGTAGTGGAGGCATTGCCCGGGGCTGAGGAAGTAGAGAGCAATGGCTAGTGGGTACAGGAATACCTTTGGGGGTGATACAAAGTTGATTGGGTTGAATGTTGTACAATAATTACATCACTGAGAATAGGTAGATGAGTAGAGTGTGTGAACTGTCAGTCAATACAGCTGTTTTTGATAAATGAGATGGTGGGGTCATGAGAAACACTGAGATGAAAGGAATGCTTGGAGGTGGATGCATCAAGGTTTTCCAGCTGAGTGGCTATGGGACGGGAAGGTGAACATAGCTACAAGGTAGCCACAAGGTAATGCTGTAAGCTGGGGCAACTGGACAGTGGAATCCCAGTTTCTGAGAAACCATCATAAAAAATGATTGGTACTGGACCTACTCAGTACTCTGTGTATATGTGTATATGTGTATAGTGTCTATACACATGTATTATAAACTTTTCCCTGAACACGTAGGATTGCAGGATCTGTTGTATAGGAAGATAATAGGCTATTCCTATTTCATAGTTTGTTTTTTGTTTTTTTTTTTTGCTGTTTTTCTTTTTTACTATTGAGTCTGTTCATCAAAGAGATTGTTAGATGGCAAGCTTAATTGAAATAATGATTTACTTACAACAATTTGAAAGAAGGGTCATATGAATAATGAAAGAGTTTCGTGTAAACAACTCTGTAAAGAAAGAAGCTGAAAAAAAAAAAAGTTCAGAAATGTTACCTACTGCTTATGGACCAGTTGCTATCACTCCGAGTGTCTGTCATATGACACAAAGGCCTTCAATGGCACTCTGTAAAGAAAGAAGCTGAAAAAAAAAAAAGTTCAGAAATGTTACCTGCTGCTTATGGACCAGTTGCTATCACTCCGAGTGTCTGGCATATGACACAAAGGCCTTCAATGGCCCCCTGCAATATTCCTAGGTTTCTGACCCTTAGATAAGAGTCACCTTTCAAATAGGTGGGGTTTTTCGATTGTTCGTGAGCCTTTCAAGACCAAGCAGGCCTGCACGTGCACTGCTGCTCCCTGGGTACATGGGCCCTTGTCACTGAAGATGTACAGCAACAGCTTTGCCTTGTGAGACATGGTTGCCAAGCCAGAAGCACCTTCAGGATCTTCCATACACAGGAGATCATAACTCAACAGTTGTGTAATGTCACTTTACCACTGCAGATGTTTATAGAACATTCCCTCTGTATAGGTAGATAAAAATGGGTTGTATTCTGAATAAAACAAAAACTCCACAGAGCCAGTATGAGGTAAATATGGGTTCTTACGCATCTCTCTCTTTTTTTTTTTTATCCACAAAAGCAAGCAAACGTTAACTTCCACAACCCTTCTGTGTCTTCCAGAGAAGAGAGTGAGAGTGTTCTGACCCTGAAGGGCCTGACCCCAACAGGCATGCTCCCCAGTGGCGTGCTTTCTGGAGGGAAGCAAACCCTGCAAAGCGGTAAGCAAGCCCAGTACTGTGACTGGGAGCACACGGCCAGCCGTACCAGTAGAACCTTGAGTTTCTCATTCAGCTCAGTCTCCTCTTCAGTTTTTCTTGGCTGGAAGAAGGGCTAAAACCCACACATCAGTTTGATCAGTCACGTCCCACGGAAAGCACCCTCATTCACTGCAGTCCACCCCTCGTCCTCATTAGCTCACATATCCACATCTTCAGGCCTCTCTACAGGACATCTCACTAAGGGTGCTGGTGCGCACAACAGCAGGTTTGAGACATTGGAGCACCCCTCCCTCAGCCAATTGATTAGTGTAAGTTTTCTGTTACATGCCAATCGTCTACTTATCTACATGACTGATGAAATGTACACACATATTTACATGCATAGCTATAGATTTTCTTGGAAAGAATATAAAGAGGGTAATTTAATTATCCACTTACGGAGAAATGAGACTTATGCAAGCCTTTTCTCTGGTGCATCAGAAATACAAAAAGAGTGATAACAACCGCATTTTGGTTTTCTTTGTTAACGATAATATCTTTTTTTAAGTAGACATTTTGCTGTATGGTCATTACTGGCTGCACAAGTGTCATCCAACATAAGTTTTTTTGATGGGAATTTTTTATGTCTGTAAAGGCCAGGCCACTAATTTGCAATAAACTTAACTTAAATATTCACATGTAGCTAGCGTCACCCACGTTAGACAACACAATTAGGCATATTATTTCTTCTGTTCTGTATGTTCTTTTATCAATTTAATTAATATCATCACTAATTAGAATACAACTTATACAATATGTAAATTTTGCTGTTAGGGTAGACTTCAACAGAAAAAAAAATACAGCAAAAGTATAATATAGTATTTTAATACAATCTCAGCCTCTAGTTTATTATCCCCTGAATCTTTCTCATATTTTCTTTTCTATCCCTGTCCTTCATCCTAGAAAACTCATATATTTTACCGATACATCATTAAGACTTTTCTTCCACACAACACATAATAATCAACTCATGAGCACAAAACTGCCATATCATCGTCCTTTAGAAAGAACAGTCAGAACCTTTATGTTTGGAAAATTTCTTCAAATATCACTGTCTTTGTTTTCCACAAAAATTCAAAAACAGTTTAGTGAAAGCAGGAAACTCTATAGTAGTTGAGGTAAAAAAAAAAATCCCTCTTTATAGTTACAGAAATTAATCATTTCATAAAAGCACAAAAATCTTTTCCACCAAAATGAACATTCTGAGTGATTAGCATAAGGAGATCATTTGTATGCCCTAAATACAACTCTACCCAGCGGATGGAAAGCTACCATTCCTATTAAGCTCAGCGTATAGCAGAGGCACACACACAGTCAGGGACTGACTGCAGACACCCAGTGCATTTCTACACTGGTGTGGTTCCAGGGTTTTGGCTTTGCTTCTAAACCTAAGGTCTTTATGTTTTTACAGTGCATAGTGTCACTTTCAGATGCTCACCTGTGTTTGTAGTTTCACCTACTCAAGTTTCTTTTATTTTAAACCCATCTGTTTGTGTTATTCTATGTGGAATTCACACACACACACACACACACACACACACACACACACATATGCTGGGTTGAGACTTCATTTGTCCTGAAAATTTGCCAACCCCATATATATTTAAAACCAGTACATTGCCCCTGCTTCACAGTTCATCTCTTACCCCTTTACAGTGGCATAAAAGGAGAAGCTGCTTAAGACTTTGACATCCGGCTCTTCTCTGTGGTTATGAGGAATTAAAAATGCATTCTTAACTGCAATGCATATGTGGCCATTGCTGTAGTTTTAAATTTTAAATTACTAGAAAATGCAAATTAAAGTCCAGGGATAGAGTATTATCAGTGTTAAGCATTTTGAAGGATGATGGTGTAATATTTTAGCATTACATTAAGGGAACACCATGAAGCCATAATAGCACAGAAAAGCTTATATACCTGAACAGGGAAACAAGGAAACAGAGCCTGAGTAAACAATGGGCTTGCTGGACCTCTGAAATTACTGCTGCAGTCTGTCATCATACTTCACTCAGACACCTACTCAGGGACTCAACCCCATTCCTGAAGACACTGATGGAATTATTGCTGCTCCTGCCATGTCTCCACTTAACATGCAATACCATTTCCAAAAATGGTACTGCAACAAGAAAAAGAAAACAACCCAGACTCAACCTGCGTGGCAAAAGACGCCCAGGCCTTATCATTCCCTCTGTGGTTCCCTTCCTCTCCCATCTTTAAGGACTCCTAATTGTTTGCCACCTGACTTTATGTCCCATTAACGTCCCCTACCCCACCCCCATGCATTTCTATCTCTGGAGGAAACACTGCCATTTACTATTCAGTGACATGAAGTATCTCACCCATGTCACAGCCCCGCTCCAAGCTTGCCCTGTTCCTCCTCCATTCAACCACAAATCACCAAGCATGGATTTTAAAGTGCTCTTAGAATCAGAAACACATTGTAGATTTCCATAACCCAATTGTCAATTCAACCCAAATAGCAGAAAGCTTTTCTGCATGTTTCCCAAAAGGGCTTTGTCACTAATTAGTGAGCCAGGACTTCAAGCCCCTCTTTCATTCCCTCAGGTGTATCAAGCCATGACTGACACTTCTCACTCCTGTGCTGTTTTGTTTTGTTTTGTTTTTTCCCTTTCTTTGTAGCCTTTCTGTCTAGTTGTCCATGCCAGAAGCCAGCACTTAGAGGAACATTAGTCCCCCCAGTTCCTTTGATCGTCACTGACTTGTTCTTAGCCTTAAAAAATCTTCTGCTCATTTTCTCATTCATTTTACACCCCTTTCTTCTCTTCAGCTACTGTTGAGGCTATTGAGGCTGATGAAGGTAAATTGGCCAGTCCCCTTTCTGTTGTGCCTGCAACAGATAAGGGCTCTGCTGGGTGTATTCATTTTTT